TTGTAACATGAAATGCAGCTCGCGGTAAGTCCCCGCATCATCCGCGCCTACGCGCCTAAAGGACCACCAGACATAAATGTACCTGCACAATTATGTGCAGAAAGTGTAGTATGAGTACGTAAATCAACATGTAACCAGTAAGTATCTAGCCTAACTTCGAAGTAGTAGCGATGAGGGGTCGACATCGACACATCCTAGTGGTTGCATACTATCAGGTACAGTAAGGAGGTGAACAAATATGAGGCACAGTAAACAAACGAAATAAATAAGTATAAATATGTGGAACAATTCTCCTCTTTACAATAAACTCAAGCTCTCAATTAGCAAATTCCTCCTTAACCGGAGCATATATATATATATATATATATATGTGTGTGTGTGTGTGTGTGTGTGTGTATGTATGTATGTATAATGGACCTCACCAAATAGGTTATTATAATTCAAATCGGGAGAAAAAACTCACAGGGTACACTAGTTTCTCGGCAAATATTGCGCACGATTCCATGAGGATATTTTATAGAAATGCTGAGGCGTACGGCCCTATCACATCATAATCTGTGCAGTGCCGAGGCGAACGGCCCGCTCCCATGAGAGTGTGGTACATAAATTTTGCCGAGGCGAATGGCCCGATCCCATTAGAATAAAAAGCTTAAACGCTTCCTTGACCCCCACTCATGAATAAATGTGTGAGTTATAATTTTTAAGGAAAATCGTTCGATGAAAACACATAGCGTGTGAGAAATCCGTACGAGGAACACCATTACTCCGTGGCAAATCATGAAACTCGTGAAATCTCTACAATAGCAAGTCTATCACTCTACGCATGTCTAGTCTCAAGTCGTAATGCGAAATAAAAGAATTAAACGAGCAAAGATAATCCTTGTAGTACAACTATAGCATGGTGTGAACCTAAGTCTACCCGGACAATAACATGAATCTAACTACGTACGGATTCTCGTCACCTCGTGCGTACGTAGCCCCCGCAATAAGTTACACATATTAAATATATCACCTAGGGGTAGTTTTCCCCTTATAGAGTTAGACAGGAGACTTACCTTGCTCCGAAGTTCCATAACCGCCTCCAACGTCGCTCTAACACCTCAAATAGGTGCTTGTCGCTCTAAAACTAGTTAATCAATGTGCAAATCCATAAACATATACTCTAATACTCATTATAAATCAAATTGTAACAATTTCCAACTCCGCTCGAAAAAATCGATAAAGCCAACCCTTGGGCCCACCTGCCCGAATTTCAAAACTTTTCGAAGATAAACATTACCCATAACATTACTAACTCAAATATAAAATTTATTTCAAGTTCCATGCCCAATTTCGGGGTAAAAATCCAAAAATTCTAATTTCTAAGTTTCTTTCAAAATCTCACAAATTTCTACCATATTCCATGCTTGAATCCATATAAAAATCATGTATTTAACTAATAACGAGAAGAAATCACTTACCCCGTAATAGCTGACGAAGATGGCACTCCAAAATCGGCTCACATGGACGAAATGAAGTGGAATCAAGCCAAACCCTTCATTTTTAAAAGGACACTGCCCAACCCGACTACCGCACATGTGGCCACTTCAGCGCATCTGCGTCTCGCAGGTGCGGCCAAAACATCGCACTTGCGCATACCCTCTGCCCAACACAGCTCCGCACCGGTGATGCCAAACGCAACCCTGCGGTCTCGCACATGCGGAGACCTTCCGCTTCTAAACCTCCAACTGCCCAGCTCGCATTCCGCTGTTGCGAAGCTTTTCTCGCATCTGTGGGCTCGCAGATGCAGAAACATCCTCGCATCTACGGCCCTCCCAGCTCAGTCCAAATGTCGCTTCTGCGACCATATTGCCGCACCTACGGCCCTTTCCACTCAGGAGCGATTGCACCAAATACCAGCAGCCACAACATTTCCCCCAAACACAACTCAATACGTTAATCGTCCGAAATCCACTCGAGGCCCCCGGGACCTCAACCAAACATCCTAAAAGATAATACAGACTTAGTCGAGCCTTCAAATCATATCAAACAACACAAAAACCATGAATCACACCCCAATTCAAGCTTAATGAAGTTTAGAACTTCTAACTTCTACATTTTCGAGGCCAAAACCCAGCAAATCACGTCTGATCAACCTCAAATTTTGCACACAAGTCACATTTGACATTACGGACCTACTCCAACTTCCAGAATTGGAATCCGACTCTGATATCAGAAAAGTCTACTCCCTGTCAAACTTCCAAAACCCTTCAACTTCCAACTTTCGCCAAATGACCCCAAAATTACCTACGGACCTCGAAATCCACATCGAGACGCGCTCCTAATACCAAAATCACCATACGGAGCTATTCTCAGGCTCAAAATTCCAAACGGACATTGATAACACTAAGATACACTTCAACCAAAATTTATGAAAATCTTCTAAAATACTAACTTTCCACAATATGCGTCGAAACGCTCCCGGGTCATCCAAAGCCCGATCTGGACATACGCAAGTCCATAACTATCATACAAACCTGTTGGACCTTCAAATCCTGATTCTGAGGTCGTTTACTCAAAAGTCAAACCTTAGTCAATTCCTTCAACTTAAAGCTTCCGAAATTAGAATTTTCTTTCCAAATCAATTGCGAACTTCTTGAAATTCAATTCTGATCACATGTACAAGTCATAATACTTGAATTGAAGTTACTCAAGTCCTCAAACCGCCGTATGACGTGCTAGAGCTCAAAACGACCGGTCAGGTAATTACAGATCTTCCTTGGGCCACTACTAGAAATTCCGCCAAAACCGGCTAGGACCAACCGACCAAAGTTGGTCGGATTTCCAAAATATTTTATTTTTAATTTTTTTACGGAACCGACCAACTTAGGTCAGTTGTTTTTGGTATAAAAATGCGGGAAACTGTTTTAGAATCCTGTGAAATTTATTTTTTAAGAAATCGACCGAAATCGGTCGGTTTTTCATATAAAATAAATTAAAACTAATATTGAAAAAAATGACCAAAATTGGTTAGTTATTTATATCACTCACTTTAAAAAACCGACCGACTTTGGTCGGTAATTTTATATTTTTAATTTTAAACGGACTGAAATCGATCGGTTATTTTTGCGCAAAAATTAAATTAAATAGTACAAATAAATTAAAAAAAAGTCTTCAACCAAAATGAACCAATAGTCTAGTGGTAGAATAGTTTCATGCCACAATACAGACCCTGGTTCGAGTTCCAGATGGTATATTTTTTAATTGCATAATTAAAAATACATACCGAATTCGGTCAGAAAATACCGACCAACTTCAGTCGATTTGTTTAGCTGATTGTTTCTTTTTGGGTCGCTTCTGAAAATTAATTTACTGACCGAAGTCGGTCGGAAATTGCGACCGACTTCGATCTCTATTTTTTACCGACCAACATATTTTTGACCGATTAAATTCGGTTAGAAATTGGTCGGTTTTTCCAGATTTTAGACCGATTTCAGTCGGTATTTCTTGTCGGTGTTAGGCTGTTATCTAGTAGTGGGCATGGATCTTGCCCGAAGCATTTATATTTTGGGATGGATCTTCCCTAGGTTGCATTTACCTTATACAGTACTGAGTGACTGACTATCAGTTGCTATGTATATATTCGGGATGGATCTTCCCTAGGCTGGATTGGACATATACAATACTAAGTGATTGAGCATGTAGAGTGATTGAACATGATGTGTGGAAAGTGTGAGACAGTGAGATTGAGTACTCTCAGAGTGAGAGTACATGAGTTCATCTCTGAGATATATTGGATTTGAGATGCACACTTGGCATACAGGCATAGAGATGCATTTTCCTCATGATGTACAGTATCATGACATTCATGACTTCTCACACATATTGACATATATGCATAGAGATGTATTTTCATCATGCCATTTGAAAATGAAAGATTTACCTATTGAAAGCTTTGGAAAAAAAAAATTACAATTTTCAAACTTACTCATATTTTTGGCGATTTCGGTAAAAGATTTGGGGTTTTCACTGATATACTTGAAAAGCAGACCTATTTTCTGGAACTGTGAACGAGATGAGCATTTTATCTCCGATTTACTTCTTTTATTACTTTCATTATGTTGTGATGAAATTGTTGTTGGCTATTGGTGTTGGACTATGACCTATGTTCCAGCTCGTCACTTATTGAGTTACTTATTGAGTACATGGGGTCGGTTGTACTCATACTACACTTCTGCACCTTGCGTGAAATGTTGGATGTTGATGTTGCTGTAATCGACGGGAGCTGGAATTGAAGACGTACCTGCGTTCCGGTTGTAGCTGCCTCTTGTTCATGGTAGCCTTATATTCATAAAAATCTGTATATGTACATTTCGAACAGATGCTGTATTTATTTCATACCAGCTTTGTAAATTCTAATCTTAAGCTCATGATTTGTACTACCAGTGCTAGGGAAATGTATAGGATTCAGATATATTTTTTTTAACTTAATTATCTTATTAAATTTCATTGGAATTGAATAGTTGTTAGTTGGCTTACCTAGCGGGTTGGATTAGGTGTCATCACGGCTAGTTGAATTTTGGATCGTGACAACAAGCTACGTGAATTTTAATTGTTGGGTCCACAACCACGTTAGAGCACCATTAAAACTAGTGGCGGGTTTAAATATTTGCTATCAATAGAGGTATATATGTCCCAAAAGTATAACATACATCATATATATATAATATTTACACATAAAAGGGTAAATCTGACCCTATAAATTTTGGCTTTTTCCACTTTAGCTCGTACAAGAAATTATTTATCATTGGTAGCCGAAAAAGTGTATAAAATTTATATATTTTTTGTATATAACATACATAATGTATATACACTGTTTTAAGAGCGGTTATACAATGTCATTTTCCCTATTAATTTCTACCTAATTTCCATTTAGGGACCCAAATATGGACCATATAGTCCTAACTCTACATTGCTTTTCCCTATATAAACTAACCCTTTGAGCTGCATCTTTTGCACGAACTCACAAACCTTTCTGCAAAACAAGTTGAAGAGCCTATACTTCTTGAAAAAAACACAAATTCAACTCTAAGACTATGGATAGATTACCTAAACTTAACTCCTCTTACCTTCTTAACTAGGGCATCCAAATGTTACGCCAATAGAACATCCATCATCTATGGTGGTGTTCGTTTCACATGGAGCCAAACCTACGAGCGTTGTTGTCGCCTCGCTTCCTCTCTCCGATCCTTGAGCATGTCAAGAACGACGTGGTAAGTATATAAACAAAATTAACCTTTCAAAGTAATAGGGGAGTCAACGCGTAACTAGTAATGTTATTGCGCCACGTGACCAGGAGGTTATTGGTTCGAGCCGTGGAAATAACCTCTTGCAGAAATGCAGGGTAAGACTGCGTACAATAGACCCAACATAGTGCAAATGGAAGCCCTTTTAACCTTTCAAAGTAATAGTTCGAAATTATATACATTGCCGTGTACGATCGGCAGTGGCAGAGGCAGAATTTTTATTAAAAGGGTCAAAATAAAAAGTGGTAAATCCACGAAGATGCTAAGAGGTGTCATATGTAATATATATTTTCCGACGAAAGGGTGAACACCCTGTGAATACATGTGGCTGCACCACTAATGATCAGTGTAATTTAACCAGTTATAGCGAGTTACACTACTAGAAATTCGGCAAAAAACGATCACAACATACCCACCGACTTCGGTTGGTCAAAAAACTAACTGAAAAATCGATCAGAGTTGGTCGGGTTTTAAAATATTTTCTTTTTCAATTATATTTTACGAAACTGACCGATCAGTCAGCTTTTTTGTGCCAAAATGCGTGAAATTATTTTGAGTCTCAAAAAATTATTTTTCAAGAAACCAACCAACTTCAGTGGTTTTTTATCTATAATAAATTAAAATAACTATTCAAAAAACTGATCAAATCGGTCAGTCATTTTAAAAAACCGACCAATTTCGGTCGGTTATTTTATTTTGTTACAAAATCCTCGGTCGGTTATTTTCGTGCAAAATGCAAGAGTACAAAAAAATAAAATAAAAAGTATTAAACCAAAAAAACATCAATGGCCTAGTGGAAAAATAGTATCAGTATAGATATCGGTTGGAATCCAAATGATACATTTTTTAATTACGTAATTTAAAAAAAGATCATTTTGATAGTTTTTTTTTTTTTTTGGGTCAGTTGTGGAATTTAATTTCGGACGGTCATAACTCATCTGAATAATTCTGAATTTTTGCTCAATATAACAAATGCACATGGACTTTCACCCCATCTGAAATGTGGCATGGCCACAACAGAAACTTCTACTACATTTGGATGTCTCATAATTGCATTTTCAACTTCAATACTACTAATATTTTCTCCACCTGAAATTATCACATCTTTGCTTCTATCTTTAATTTCCAAATACCCATCTGAGTGAATTACTCCAACATCTCCAGTAAAAATCAACCATTTTTAAACGCTTCCGAATTCGCTTTGTCATTCTTGAAATATAAAAATGGTTGGTTTTTTACTGAAGATGTTAGAGTAATTCACTCGGATGGGTATTTGGAAATTAAAGATAGAAGCAAAGATGCGATAAATTCAGGTGGAGAAAATATTACGTAGTAGTATTGAAGTTGAAAATGCAATTATGAGACATCCAAATGTAGTAGAAGTTTCTGTTGTGGCCGTGCCACATTTCAGATAGGGTGAAAGTCCATGTGCATTTATATATTGAGCAAAAATTCAGAAATTAATGAAGTTGATATTATTGCTCATTATAAATCAAATTTGCCAGGATTTATGGTACCAAAAAGGTGAAATTTGTGGAAGAACTGCCTAAGACTGCAACTGGAAAAGTACAGAAACACGATTTGAGAGCAATAGCTAAGACTTTTGTTATTTCAGAAACACGATTCTTGATGTGGTGACGTTGTTGGATTGTAATAAGGGCTCGTTTGATTCGAAGACAAGTTATATATGAATTACACTGTGAGGATTATTTATGTATGAATTAGTAATACATGAACTATGTCCTTGGTGGGTGTTTGATTCATTGTACTAAAATTAGATGTACAAAGTATTATTTAAATATTTTTATTTTGTAAACTAAAAAGCAATGAGTTAATCCCACATAGTGGGGTATGGAGAGGGCAATGTGTACGCAGACCTTGTCCTACCTTTGTGGAGGTAGAGAGGCTGTTTCCAATAGACCATTGGCAATAATAACAAGAAACAAGACGGGACAACACCAAAAAACCATGTAAAAGCAGCATACACAACAAGATTTAAAAAATAAGTTATTCAAATAAGCCTACTACCAACCAAATGTGAGAGTACGTACTAACACTACATATATGAATAATCTAGACTACCTAACCTACTACCCTAATCTTAGACCTCCACACCTTCCTATCACGGGTCATGTCCTCGGTCAGCTGTAGTTGCGTCATATCATGCCTAATCACCTCATCCCAACACTTTTTCAGCCTACCTCTACCTCTCCTAAGGCCATCCAATGTCAATCTCTCACACCTCTTCCCGTAGCATCTGTGCTTCTCCTCCTCAAATGTCCAAGTCATCTAAGTCGTACTTCCCGCATCTTGTCCTCAATAGGGGCCACACCCACCTTGTCCCGAATAACTTCATTCCGAATCCTATCTAATTTGGTGTGCCTGCACATCCATCTCAACATCCTCATCTCTGCTACCTTCATCTTCTGCATGTGAGAGTTCTTGATTGGCCAACACTCAGCCCCATACAACATAGGCGGTCTAACCACCGCTATATAAAATGTACCTTTAAGTTTTGGCAGTACCTTCTTGTCACACAAAACAACGGAAGCAAGTCTCCATTTCATCCATCTCACCCCTATACGATGTGTGACATCTTCATCAATCTCCCTATCCTCTTGTATAGTAGACCCAAGGTACTTAAAACTCCCCTCCTACGAATGACTTGTGAATTCAGCCTCACCTCCCCTTCCACTCCCTGAGTAGCACCACTAAACTTACACTCCAAGTGTTCTGTCTTGGTTCTGCTCAGCTTGAAATCTTTAGACTCCAGGGTTTGTCTCTACATCTCTAACCTCGCGTTAACACCATCTCGCGTCTAGTCAATCAAAATAATATCGTCTGCAAATAACATGTACCACGACACCTCCCCTTGGATGCGGCGAGTCAGTACGTCCATCGCCAGGGCAAACAAAAAAGGGTTGAGTACCGACCCCTGATGCAACCCCATCATGACTGGAAAATGGTCTGAGACCCCTCCTACTATCCTCACACAGTTCTTCGCTCTCTCATACATGTATTTAATCACGCTAATTCTCCACTGAACCTCCCTCGGGACTTTATCGTAAGCCTTTTCTAAATCGATGAACATCATATGCAAGTCTCTCTTCCTCTCCCTATATTATTCCATCAATCTCCTAACAAGGTGAATGACTTCCGTAGTCGAACGCCCTGACATAAACCTAAACTGGTTCTCGAAAATAGATATCCTTCTCCTCACCCTTAGCTCCACCACCCTCTTCCACACCTTTATAGTATGACTAAGCAACTTAATACCTCGATAGTTGTTGCAATTTTGGGTATCACCCTTATTCTTGTACACAAGAACCATCGTGCTCCATCTCCACTCTTCGGGCATCTTTTTCGTCCTAAAAATGACATTAGATAACCTAGTGTATATTGACATTTCTAATTAACAAATAATGTTTGACTAAACATGAAATCTAAGAAATAAACAAAAACTTTTTGTACATATTAAAAATACCGTTTGGAATTTTGTTCTTAAACATATCATGAGGTCTCCATATATAGCTTCCGTACGAATATAGATTTTGGCTACTTTTAAAAAAAAAAAATTTAAAACATTATTTGTTCATGAAACTTGATTAGTTTCAAAAAAATCTCAAGTTCCAAAAACTAGTTTGTTTTTGGATGAAAATTTTCTTCTGCTCACAAAACCTTAATATTCTTTTCAAGTAAAATGCATGTCTAAACACAATTTCAACTTTTAAAAAACTATTTTCAACATAATTTTAAAAACTCTTTTTTTTTTCAAAAAATTCAAGCAAATATATGTCCAACGCTATCATATGAACAACTCCGTCGTGAATGCATCCTAACATAATAGCTAAATAAAGAAGTTTGTAACTTTTATACCGTGTACATGAGAAATTTTTCATTTTAAAATAAATGCACAGAATTGTGTGCATTTCAAATGAGAACAGGACAAACATGAGGAGAAGTTTTATTGTGTGCCCCACACAACTCTCACAAATTTGTGGACCCCAAATCTTATACTTATAGGTCCACAAAATTTGGGTCTACAAAACTGTCTCATACAATTAGTGTCAGACACAAAATAAAATTTTCCAAACATGAGAGATAAGTGGGGTTGTGTGTCCTGTCAAAAAAAGTATGAAAATTTGGGACAAAACAGCAGTTTTTTTTTTTTTGGTTTTTCTTTACGAAATTTGATGTCCATCAATATATGTACGTACTACGCCTAAATTCCTAATTGGTTGAGATCTAACGAGATAAAGCCTAAATGCCAAATTGGTCTAATCCACCTACTCCGTACAACCTATGTTTATTGTTAGGTTCTTGTAGTTCTCTTACCTGCCATGAAATTGATGGTTTTCGACCCATGAGATTATAGCCATACAAAATTAGGCCCTATATTAAGCACAATGTAACACTTGGGTACAGGTTTGTCTGTTTAAAAAAGGAAAAGAAAAATTAAGAGTCGGTCCTCTTCACGTGCATGCATGAGAAAAGTAAGACTTTGATTTCTACATTAACAGTGTAAGTAGATTTTTATATCATCACATTACCTAAAAGATAATTAGAGATAATTATCTATAATAACTTAATAAGCCAACTTAATTATCTAAAATCTTAGTTGAACGCGAATTATTCCCTGAAGATATTAGTGATGATCTTGGTTGAACCTCAGCTCAGCTTCAGTCTATACATTGCAGTGGACACTAGGGGTGTGCATTCGAATCGGTTTATCGATAAATCGAATCGATTATTTGTTATCGATTTATCGATATCGGTTTATCGATTTATCGATTTCGATTTCGAAATTTTCCTTATCGAGTTATCGATTTCTATTTCGATTTTGTCCTCTTCGGTTATCGGTTTATCGATAAACCGATAAGAAATACTAAAAAAAAAAAAAAAAAAAAAAAAAAATTAAACCTTATTCTATAATTTTTTTTAAAATTTTTTTTTTACCCATATTCTATAATATCCTTTCCTTTACCCTAAGTCCCTAACCCTATTATTTCATGTACCACATTTAAGGAATGATCATATTTAAAGCTCAAGGGAATGAAGTTCAAATTAATGGAAAATAGAATTAGCCGTGATGATGTATTTTTTTTTATACCGTTGGAGTGTTGGTGGCATACATTTGATCCCTTACTTTAGTTTCGTTGCATGTGCTTGTTGACATAATTTTTATGTTATAAACGGTGTTCGTCTTATTTTAGCTTCTTTTGGTCCATATTAGTTAGGCGTGTTTATAGCGATATACTTTTCGTGGAATCCCGCAAATTTTTTTATTGGTGTAATCGATAACCGAATCTATAAGCCCCAAAAACCGATAAATCGAAATCGAAAAAATCGAAACCTTATTGAAACAATAACGATAAGCATATGTACAAATCGACAATCGATAAGTAATTATCGATAAGGGTCAAAATCGAATCGATAAATCGAATGCACACCCCTAGTGGACACCAATCTAATAAATATATATAGGGGAACTTTTATGAATGACTATTGTTGGGAGGCTTACTGTAGGACGTAACTACAATTTAGCTAATTACATTATGTAGCTACTAATGGCTTGGGGGATGTATGTCGATGTATTCAATTCGGTTATATACACTGTATTCAATTCAGAAGTATTCGTTCTTATATATTTTACATTGTATTCAATTTCACTGTTTGGATCTGATGCGGAACTGGATCTAACGTCGTCAGATGTGGATCAGGATTTGATGCTGGATCTCTCTTATACAACAAAAATACAGTGTAGATGCATACAATAAAGAAAAATGAAGACGTCTTTCTCGCTCATACAATACAGTTTGTGTTTGTGCAGGGGAAGTGTTTGTATTGGATTCATGAGTTAAAATGGCGATGGTGGTAATAAGGAAAAATGAGGTGATGTGTTTTTGGTGGTGTCAGTGAATAACGCGAATTAGCTTCTATGTCTATATTGTGCGGCACCTCTGATTTCTAGTTGTCTGCTAGGGCTTTTGCATTCCTTTCTTTTGTTCTTAATGAGTTACGTACAGTGATATTCAGCGAAGAGAGAGAGAAAAGGCGAGAGTTAGGGATAAGTAAGGGCGACAAGTAGGCCGGTCCGGGACCGGGACCAACTCGGGACCGCGGGCCAAACGGGCCAGGACCGGTTGGACCGGTATTCGTGGTCCTGGTCCGGGCTTCTGGGCCGGTTCTATACATTAGGACCGCTAGGATTGGGACCATTTGGGATCGGGACAGGACCAGTCCCTGGCGGGCCAAACAGTCCCAACAGTCAAAATTTAAAAAAAAAATTGCCCGTTGGGGCATTTAAAATCTGGCCGTTGGGGTGACCAAAATAGCAATTTAACCTCCCCCACCCCCCCATCCCTCCCCACAACTTTTTTTTAACCCCAAATATTTTATAATTACACTTTTTTCCTATTTTTAACTATAAATACCCCTCATTGTTGGGTTGCCGCGGATGTTCCGTTTGGGTCATTGTTAAAAGGCTGACCAAGTCGGCACACATCATTCTGGTGGTGAGTACTTACTCATCAGAGAGGTTGGCCCAGACTTACATTCAGGAGATCGTCTGGTTTCATGGTATGCCTATTTCCATCATATTAGATAGAGGCCCTCAAGTCACTTCGCATTTCTAGAGAGCAGTATAGAGCGAGTTGGGTACCCAAGTAGAGCTCAGCACAACCTTTCATGCGCAGACCGATGGGCAGACAGAACGGATAGTTCCTATTCTAGAGGATATGCACAGAGCATATGTTATTGACTT